AGAAATTCGAATCTCCCACCCCAACAGAAACAACGAATGAGAAGAGAGGCAGCCATATTGACCCCGGCCAGCCAATAAGCGTCGAAGGCAGTAACCAATTGAATGGAGGACGGACGTAAACGGGCTATTGAATTACATTATTTAGTAAATTTTTCCAATATGGCGGACATGGTTATAGTACTTAATGAAATGTATTATGCAATAAAATGCAATGCCAAGGTAATGTAAATCATAATTCTTAAACACATGTAATAGTGAGGAGTGAAGTAAATTGAAGATAGAAGTAAAAATAAGAAAAAAACTTTACATAATAATATTTATTGTAAATTTGGTAACATATTACAAAAAAAATACAATGTTGCATGAAAAAAATCCTGTTATGTTGAAACAAAGGAAACAAATCATGGTCCAATCATATTTGTGATACTCTCATTATACTAAATATCACTGCTGCCTATACAACAAAAAAATAATAATAAATTTGTCACAAATTAAAACATACGCCCTGGCAATGACAAGTCAGTATAATTAATATATACATATAAGCATTTAACAATACCACCAATAGGCTTTATTTTCTAAAATGATATAAGACCATTAAATTAAATTTAAAATTCAATCCTGTATCTTAAATTACAATTCATGCGAAAGGTAATTAATTTTATACATGTAGTGATAAGAGACTTAATTAAATCTCTCTCCCTCCCCTCCACGAAAATAAGGGCTTTCCGTTTAACATTGACTGCCGTCTCTGATATATACTCTCTGTCTTGAGCAGTCTTGAGCGAAACTTACCAAAGCATTGTCTCTGGTCTTGAGCAATTACTCGAAACGACCCCAAACGGTTCCGAATTTTGATTTCGTTGTATGTTCAACATGTACAACCGTCTCTCGATTCCACGTCCGGCAGTTTGTGCCCCAAATTTTTGAACAGATTTTGAAAGAAAATGTGAAATTTTCGGTGTTGTTCGCTTCACAATTGCCTTATAAACGGAATGGGAGACACGGAAAATACAAGACATACAAAGTAAGTGATATTAATATTTTGCACGATTGTTAAGAATGATATATTATTAGGATAATTATTTACAATATTGCTTTAATTACTGTAATATTATACACCTCCTTTTATATATAATCCTATAATTTTTGTTTGCAATAACATTAAATTGAATATTTTTATTTTTTTGGCAATTTATATATTACAAATTTTATTGTAAGTTTATGAAATGGCTGATGAGAATTGTGACCTAACACTAGCTTCTTGTCCACAGAGAAGGTATGAACAGAAGGAGGTATGTGTGCCAAAGCACATCTTGACAGAAATGTTGACTGCAAAAAACAGTTGTGTGGAGTGCAGTCCTCAGTAAAATTTCCTGACAATGCCCTGAGGTGCCTAATGGAGTGCCCAGAACATTTAGAGAAAGCTTGTCAAAAAACAAGTGTTAGTGGCATGCTTTGTGCATTTATGATATGTTGTTATAAGAAAGCTTTAAAAATGTTTCAGCTCAATCATTTGTCACGATTCGGTTTACAGGACCTGTCCACACGTTGCAGCTACTATTCATTCTGACCTCCTTGCATGGTGAGTGCAGAAACCTTGTTTTATGAAGATGAGACAGCACTAAGCCTCTTGAATTTCAATAACATCCCTTTTTGTATTGCAGGCAGGTCCTAAACGTGCTGGAAAAAAGTGCAGGACATCCTGGGGCTGGCACATATTCCAATAAATGATATGAAGTATAATACTGTCAATTGTGGTAATCTGTTAGCATTGCTATGTGATAATTTTAGATTTCAAGTAATATGCTATTGTATGTAGTGTTGCGCATGATCCATTCAAATCCATAATTATCTGTTCAGAAAGTAGATGATTTTTGACAGGTTTTAAAATTAGTGTTACTGTGAAATGTATTCTTCCATCAGACACATGGGCTGGAGTGTGAGGTGTTGTGGGAGTGTCACGAGTGGTTGGAGGGAGGGATAGTGTTCAGGAGTGATTTTCATTGTTCCAAGTCTTATCATTACAAAGAATGTTATAAGAATTGATACAAATCGTGTGTAAAAGATGGGAATACGTAGGCATGTGAATGAACTCATGGATGTAAATGGGGCATGCCATAAATTTTGAATTTCAGAGAGCCTCTGTTGTTTTCTTTCAATATAGTCTTAATTAAACTTGCAACAGACTAAATTGTCACAAGGTTATGTGTATAAATGTTTTCAAAAGGAAGTTATAAAGTGCACTTTTCTTGCATTTTATCTATATAAATAAATTTACATGTAAACATTCTTCATTTGGCGGAATGACAAGAATAATAGGGAGTATCATGGCCCAAACAGTTAGCCAATGTTTAAGAAGTGAGAATAATTTGTATGTGTTAATCACCATTAATGTCCCTCAATTTAGTTTAGCATCAATGTGTTTTAAAAAAATTCTATCATGACTGAATAGACAATAATGAAAATCTTTTCTTAATAATTGAAAACAATTCTGTATCTAATAGGAAACATTATGTAATTCTGTGTGTATAATGTAATATTGTGTGTGACATCCATTGAGCAACTTACTGTGCTTTTGGAGAATTAATATATTATCAGTATTTAAATTTACAAGTCTAAAAAGTATTTTGTTATAAATCAATTTGAAGTGGATTCTGTTAAATCTACTCTATATATTTTCCTACATATATCTCTTCTTTTAATACATTATAAGATGGATTTTTCGCTGTGCATCCAAACTGTAGGACTCCAATATTTCACTAATCAAAAGAATAGAAGAAATCTGCCTTGGCAATGTTAATGAAGTTATAGTTTCACTTACACATATGTACCAAATTGAAGGTGTTTGTTTCGTATAAAAAGTAAAAGAATGTCATTTTGCGGGATAACTGTTATATGTTATGGGCAATACAAACTATTTTTCTTAACTGTTTGTCTTGTGGACCACATACTCTTTGTATAATTTTGAATTTTTTACCAGGAAATATACACTTGTTTACTAAACATATTTGTTCACAACTGCTAAATGACAATTTTGAGATTTCTTTTGTGAATTATATAATTTTATGCAGCTTTTTGTATGTTTCATTTGGCTATATTTTATATTGTTTATCTGCAGTAAAATCATGTGTAATATTAGTGTTGCACATAATGGTTGGCAAGGATATATCCCTTTATTTCACATAACAGTATTTTTCGTCGTACATGTTCTTAATTTTTTGTATATGAAGTATATTTTACAAATAAATATTGTTTATATAAAATACCTTTTTTTATTTTCAATTCCTTCATTACAATTTATTTAACTGCCTCACAATTATAAACCATTTTAGAGTTACTGACTGCTACATAACCTTCCTCATGAATTTCACGTGAAATTAATAATATTCTATAACTGTCCGCCACATTGTTAAGTTGCTAAATGTAATATCGAATGTCCCGGTTCACATTTGCCCTCCGTTTCAGTTGGTAGGTCGCCTTTCGACGCTCATTACCTGGTGAGGGGGCAGGAATGGATGCTTCTGTCGGAGTGGGGGGCATATACTCTCTGGTGGGGGGTTGACCCCCCCCTCCATAAAAATGAGCTTCCAATTAACATTTGAGTGCCGCCTCTGTTCTGCTATATGCTCTCTGAGTGGAGTGGATGCGTGCGTTCAACTTCGACGACCTGTCGACTCGGGACGAGTGTAGCAGGCGCCACACCAGTGCTTGTTTTGCGATGTATAGTGGCAAATCCTCGAGAAACTGATTGCGCGGTATTATTAAGAATGCTTGAATGGAAAGCGTTTGTGATTATGCTAAGTTAATGAATGAGTAACGTGAAGAATATTGCAGTGCAAATGTCATGGGAATTTGTACGCGACGAACGTTTTTACTCACGATATGTACATTGCAATTAGTGAGTGCTTGTTTTTGTGACCCGCGGTACTGGAATTGTTGAGAGTGTTATTATATTGGGTTCCTTTTAATGTGTGATCGCCTGTAATTTTTAAAAAGAAATGAATGGGAAATATGGCAGATATGTCAAAGTTGAATAAAGAAAGCAATACTAATATTTATTTGTCCCAATATCAAGTTTTTGAAATCTCAGATAAACTAAAAGAATGATTCATATTTATACTTCAATGTATAATAAATTATAATGTAAATTTTTAATTCATTAAACATGCAAAATATGTATTAAAAAATTGATATGAAAGTATACAGTGGTTTGTTTGCAAGTCTTCACACTTAAGTTTTTGACGAGATACATGTTTGGAAATAAAATTCTTCCTTTTCAAATCAGAAATTTATTTGTAATGTTACAATTTAATTTTGAGATCAGTTGTCTTTCTAAGTTTTTTTAATGGTATTCTTTTTTATTTAATGATATTAATTTTAGAATAATATTACTATACAATTTTGAGTGTTTTGCTTTATTTTTTTTAAATAGTATTCTATTTATTTAATAATTCTCAATTTAAGGATTCGTTTGCAAAATATTTAGTTGTAATTAAGTTGTTTGTATTTTTTTTAAATTTTGTAGGTAGTAAGGTAACAGTGGTTAACATTGCCATAACGTCAAAAAATTTAAGTAGCACAGTCTGTATCGTAAATTTATTTGCTGACTGTGTTCCCATAGTTAGCCACCTCTTTTAGGATCTTGTTGCATTGGATTACAGTTGTAACTTGAAATGTTCGTAAATATTATGGTGTATTTTGATGCATCGAAATCTCATATTCAAAACTTTGTTAATTTTGGGTTAATTGAGTTGAAATAATTGACGTAGATCAGTAAATATGTCATATCCTAGACATGCTGTGTCGTGTCTTAATAATTATTGATTACAAACAAGACAAAATGTATAAACTGCGTATATTACTTTCAGGTTAACATTGCCATACTGGCCATCTTCCCCCTACATTTCTATCCTATGAGAAGAAATTCTTACATTGGAACAATTGACATTTGTGAGTTAATATATCACTTCTAAAGCATATGAGATTAAGCTATTGTAAACATTGATTAATTACATTTGATGCAAAAAATACTTTTTTGTTGTCACCATACTTGCACTGTAACTTTAAGAAGCTCATCATTCTTTTACTTTGTCTTGTTTTTGGAGAGAATGCGATGTAGACCAATAAAAAATCCAATATTTAAGGTTTATAAACCCTATGATGAAGTTAAAATCCATCAAGTAATGGAAAATGTAAATAATTGAAAATTAAGTAGGAAAAAGCTGCAGACTATGAAATAAGCAGGTCCACTTTACGACATACGAATAAGTGTGTTATGCCAAAATTTGGTATTGTTGCTAAGCTTCCCCGACCAAATACAGAAAGGAGAAATCACATATCACAAAGTTAAACAGTTAATAAAATGTATTTTAGACTAAGTTCTCAAAGCAGAATTTATCCCTGTTTAGTGTATTTAAATGGTCAAAACCCAAAGACTAATAATCATAAAATTTGTTCTGATGCACATTTGTGTCTTTGTTTTCTATCCGACTTGCACATTTAAATATTGCAAGACACTTGAAAATAAAAAAAAAATATTAGTGGCAATGTTTGACCCCTGTGGGGTAACATTGCCACTTTCTTTGTTAAAAAAATAATGTAATCTTTCAAATTATGGAAGCTGTGACTTCAATATTTGGGAAAAACAGTATGCTTTGGTGAAGGATTAAATTGTCAAAACAATTATTGTGAAGATTGATGCAATAAAGTAGAAATTTAAAAGAAACAGAGAGGTGGCAATGTTACCCCTGTTACCTTATTCTTGGAATTGTTTTATTTCATTCTGTTTTCAGTTGTATGTCATTTGCTTCCTTTGATGTTTGGCTCAGATTGCCATCATTGAGTTTAAAAAGTTTCTACATTGTAGATAATTAACAATAAATTATCTTTAGTGAGAGTACAATGTTTCCGAAGTTGAGTAGAAATTGAGCCCAATGGTATTAAGAATGTTATTTACTAATCTACCATGATTGAGCAAGTGCAACTGATGCATTGCAAGGTCATATTAATAAATGAGCGTAGATGCAAAAGGCGGCTTACACAGAGACATGATAGATAAACTGGTAGTAGCACTCCTTTTGCATGCACACATACATATATACACACACACACACACATTTCTTAGGAAAGTTACTTAAATAAATTATAGTTAGTGTAATTACATAAAAAATAAACTATTCCAGGTTCAATATCTGTTTATGATATGATTGAAAATGACATACAGTGTTCTTTACGTTCTATAATATTACAGTGTTCTGTAAGTTTGGTACATTATAAAAATGTTTTTTATTTAGAAAGAGTGTTTATTCTTTTTCATAAAGAGTTCATTTTCGTTATTAAAAATATTTTATGGGTCAGCAGGATGAACTCTTCCAGTCCAAGAAAATTTGAAATTGTTTGTGTGCTTTTATATAGCTTGGTGTCATTTCTTTCAACTACTTGAAACACCAGAAAGAAATTATTCTGGTCAGCTGGAAGAAAGAAAGGAAGATACAGCATGAAGGACAATGCTCAGAAGCACAGAACTACTACACAACAATGCTCTCTGTCACAAAAAGCAGATGGAAAAAAAAACTTAGATGCAATGAATGTGGTGTGGGACACAGCCAATGCCACATCAAATCACAAGCAAAACTTTGTTTTTATCCTCCTGAAAAATTTTGTAGAATGAACAGAAAGCATTTACTTTCTGTTCCTTCTAATTGTCATGCAACTTTATTTTTGTAAATGTAGAATAATAATAATAATAATTAAAATAATAATATTTATTGAGTCACATACATATACAATTACAATAGTGTATGACGAGTCAATATGATGCCTTGGGTGGAGAGAGCGAAGTTACATTACTGTTCAGGAGCAAACAAGGGGCTATCTCAGCATTTGCTCAGAGGACCAGGGAAACTGAACAAAACTTAATCGAGATGGGGTCATTGGTCTTGAAATACAATACTTGTTACCGTTAGATTAAGATATTATACAGTAGATAAATTATCTGCTAATAATTAACATTTCAATATGTTATTTTAATGCTACTACTTATAAAATTAATTATATTAATAATAATAATTACATTAATAATACATATCAAGTATGTTTGCAACTACATCAAATTTAACAATAGTAGTACATTCTATATTTATAACTTGAAATGGTGAGGAGGCAAGTTTTGACCATATTTCTTCTTCTTCTATTGTCCTTCTATTTCACAGAATGCGATATGCTGTTCTTTTTTCTTTGCTTCTTCGTGAAACAGTTTACATGAAACAGAAAGTCTAATGGGATAAGAATTTCTTACTTATTTATATTTTTAAGGGAAATATCATTGCCTAGTTTGTTGTAAAGTGTAATGCCCTCTATTAGGGTACTTTTTTGATAAGGTAGTTTCATAGTGCGTTGAATCGCGTAGGTTATCCTTTTGATGGGTGTTGTAGTTGTGTACATCAGAATTTAAAGTGAAAGTGTCTTTGTTTTCCATGAGAATTTCTTTGTGAAGACCACTATTTCAAATATGTACATGCATGGTAGAGGAAGAATCCTTAGTTTATTAAACAAGGGTTTGCAAGACTCTAGCTTATGAGTGCTGGTCATTGTTCGCAATATTCTTTGGATATATAATGTGCGAGTGCTTTCAGGGGCATTTCCCAGAATATTATTCCATGTTTTAGGGGTGAGTGCACATTTGCAAATACATTGTTCGAAGTGTCTCAATGTTGGAGCTTGACCTGAGGGTGTATAGGGCATAGCAAGATTTGCTGAGTTTCTTGTTGAGATGTGAGATGTGTGTGTTCCATTTTGGGTTTTCTTGAATTGTGAGTCCGAGGAAGGTAGTTTCATGAGATATCGTTACAGGTTATTGTTTATGAGCAAATGCTGTGAGAGTTTTTCTTTAGATCAAGGATTCATGAAATTTAGAGAGACTGTCTTGCTGGTGTTTATGATGTTTTGTTTTCTTGAAACCATTTTACTAGTGCTTGCAAAGTTTGTGAGTTTCTTTTTCTAATGATTGTTGTGTTTTTCTTTGATGATGATGTTTGTGTCATCTGCGAACAAAATTATTTTGTTATTCCTTAAAGCCAAAGGCATGTCATTTATGTAATATAGGAATAGTATTGGCACAAGGGTGGATCTTGCGGAACTCCACAATTTATTATTTGAGGACAGGAGTAGTATGAGGAGATTTTGTTTTCTTTAGTGTGTTGGAGGGCAACTATTTGGCTACGGTTTGATAAATATGATTTGATCCATTGGCCTGCAATGCCTCGAATCCCTAGCATTTCTAGTTTTCTTAAAAGTGTATATGATGGTCAATGATGTCAAAGGCTTTTGACAAATCTAAGAAAAGGCCAATGGAAATTTCCTTCTGATTTAGTGCAACAAGTATGTCATTTAAAAAGGAGAAGATTGCTGTGTCTGTTGATCTATTACTCCTGAAGCCATGTTGTGCATTTGTAAGGACATTATTTGCATTGGAAAACTGTTTTGAGTCTATCATTGAAAAACCTTTCCAAAATTTTTGAAAGTCCTGATAACAGGAGATAGGTCTGTAGTTCATTGGATCATAACTATTGCCCTTTTAAACATGGTTTAATTTTTGCTCTTTTGAATATATCTGGGAATATGCCTGATTTTAGAGGGTACTTGCAGGTGTGAGAGAATGGTTGCACTACACATGGAGCACTGTATTTAATAAGAAAATCTGGAATGTTGTCTATGCCTGCTGAGAATTTATTCTCCATTTGTCAATGATTTATATATATATATATATATATATATATATATATATATATATATATATATATATATATATAATATATATATATATATATATATATATATTTTTCTTGTGGGTCTTGTACAGTTTCGTTTTTGTAGTGGAGCTCTACATTTTTCTGTTATTATTAGTTAGTGCAGTAGTCTTTTTAATAATGTCCTGCACAGCTTTTGTTTTATTAAGAATCTAAAAGTCACCCTTCTCAATAGTCTATGGTCCACCTGTCTATCCTTGATACATCAATGGGCTGACACTGTAGTGCCATCCTTTTCCAGGGTAATTGATTGCAGTGTAGTTTGCCTTCTCCTTCCATTGGGTGAAGGATGTTGGGGTAGTCAGAAGGGCTGAATGATATGGATAGGCTAATGGTTCAGAAGAGATATGGTGGAGTGAGCAAACAACCATACAAAAACTCCAATGCCTAAAGTGAGATTTGAGCCCCACAACCTTTGGCTTTGCTGCTCTTAATCCCCATGTCACCACAACTGGTCAATTTCTAAGCAGTGAAAAATATTTATTAGCTCGTTTGATTCTATCCAAAAATTGTCTGAGAACTGGGAAGAAGTAGTTTTACCACTGAAATAATTATAGGTGTTTTCTTTGCAAGCAATATTATTTATTAAAATACTGGCTTTTGATGGCTTAGCCATCATCATCAGTTTTATGATTAAATCTTCTGTGATTTTTTTAACAAGATGTTGGGCATGTTGAAAACCAGAATTGACTTGGTTTCTGTCCTGTGAAAGATAGTTTTACTGAAGCTTCTTATTCTAATGTATTCATTTTTGTCCTTTCCAATGAACGTAGGAGGAAATAGTGAGTCATTTTCTTAACTGAGGTGTGTGTGTGTGTGTTTAATACTTAACACTTCTATTTGAATCCATGAAGGGTTTTGTATTTGGATATCTTCATATGCAACATTAGTGTAAAAAATAACAGAAAGAACTAACAATAATTTCATTTTATTTTTCTTTATAGATTTCAACAATAGAGCGGCAGATATTTGACTTCCTGGGATTCATGTGGGCTCCAATATTAGCCAATTTTTTCCATATAATATTTGTCATTTTTGGATTCTTCGGAACATTCCAGTACAGACCAAAGTATATTATAACAGTAAGTGAAAAGCTTCTCTTCTTTCTCTGGTTGGTATTATTACTCTGTCTCTGTTCTGTTAATATATTTACCTCATTATGAACAATTTTTAGTCAATATGTCCATAAGAAGGTACATTTTTATGTACAGTTATTTCTCAATACAATCTTTCTGTGCCTTCTTTAACAATTTGTAACATAATAATAATAAGAAGAAGAATAACAATAGCAATAACAATAATAATAATAATAATAATAATAAACCATTAACATTGAATCATTAATTACAATAATGAAATAGTTCATCACAAAAATCTGTTATTATTAATAATAATAATAATTATTATTATTATTATTATTATTATTATTATTATTATTATTATTTTGAAATTTATTGAAAGTACATACATAAAATAAAAAAATAAAAATATTTTATTTTAAGTTATATAGCTTATTACCTTATGGCTTAGTGTCACCTCATAAATCTCGTAAATGATGTTAAGTATTGTAAATATTTTAACGATTTCTGATTTTTTTTATATATATATATATATATA